ATGGGGCGGGTGGCGACGTCGATGGTGCCACCATGGCTGTAGCCCCTGCTAACAACCCCCTTCTTCTCGATTTGTTTGGCTCGTGTTGACGTCTTGCACAACGAAAGCAACATGTTCTGTCTCGACTGAAGGGATGCCGACTATAGATTTTCTGAATGCCAGCAGAGTCGAAGCTCTCGGTTCAGGAAGGGTCGGTCAGCAAACAAAGCTTGCAGAGAGAGAAAAAACGTTGTTTCAAATACCGAGATGAGAAAAGGAGAGGGTGTCCTCCCTTCCTGCACAGATGATGGCAGAAAGGGAGTTCGAGAATTCTCAAGAAAGATCAGTGGCTAGAGTATGAAACCTTGCATTGATACCATGTTGAAATTCAAAATAATGTGAAATAAAGTGGAATGCTTCATATTATTTCATTGATATGAATGAAGGTATAAATAACCCTTACAAGAACTCAACAATAAGAAAAATAATAAAAAGAAAATGATATGAAAGAAAAGATATATCATATAATATCTCCAATAATTAATTCATATTAATTATTAAGAGATATATGAAATAACAAAAATAAGAAACCAAATAATTCTTAATCTAAGGAAATAAATATAAAATAGGAAAAAAAATATCTCCTTATATTAAGGAAATAATTTATTCCTCATAACTTATAGGAATAAATTATTTCCTATTATAATTCTTAACAAAAGTAATACCCTCCATGAACACAAAATATATACAACAGGTTTTGATTGCTTAACTTGATATAATGGGTTGTAAAATGAATCTAATTTTTATGTAATTAATAATTTAATTATAAAAATAAGTATTCTAATTTTTTATAAGACTAGGGCAACAAAAACAAAATTAAGGGCAAGTGAATGAGCTCTTGATTAGGCAATAGGGATGGATTCATGAAGACTCACTTGTGGGGATGAGAAAGGGTGCAGGGAGTAGAGATGCTCGCGATTTTAGGATTCACTAATTAGATTGTGAACCGTGTCGGAATTAGATTCAAGTAAATTTAAAATTTCTCAAAAGTAAGTCTTGAAAGTAATTTTGAATTCTTCTAAATTCCTTATGAAAATATTTTATATTTATTTTACTTTATATCAAAGACATAAAAATTTAAAATGCATACATCTCTTTCACTCGCACAGGGAACCAAAGAGTACTATATTGTGGCATGAAACCTCCTCCTTGTCCCCATTTTCATGCGAGAGAAGCATCACTCAATGGAGCACTTCTCTGTCGGTTGCATCTACCCGTTAAACCCCATCAAAACATATTTGATTGTCGTTTTTTCATTCATGCCACATCTGTAACATATTTTTCATGAAGATTGAGTGCTACACCAACGTCGCGATCAGAGATTGCAAATGTTATTATGTGAAGTTTGATTGTGTTAATAAATTATTCGCTTAGATTACTCAATTTTGCCGATCAATCTTAACGGTGAGTTGTTTTGGGGCGTGCAAGAGCAAATGGGACTCAAGGACATTCCAACAACACCCTAATGTTGAGCCGGTAGTGTCCTAACTTCTAAAAGATAGTATCTTCAAGTTCAATTCAGGTTAAGACCCCAAGAGCATGACACTGTAGCATCCCAACGCCCCTTTAGAGGATTGCGATGCCACCATCTTGTCGCCCCGAAGTCAGCAACCAACTTTAGTAAGTTCTTCACTTACAGTTTTAGTTTTACTGATACAAAGAAGTTTTATTTTGTATTTTCTTGTGCAAGTGAGAAGAGAGAAGTGTCCTGGAGTGTTCCAAACGTGGAGAGACTTGAGTGTGGTGTGATTTGTACGATTTCCATCAAAGTAAAGTTCTTGGTGTTGTGTGACTATGTGATTTTTTTCTATTCTCCATTTCTTTCACATTAATTTTTTTTATTTTTTATGAATTTTAATTTTTTGTGCTTATGTTGAAAATTTTATTTCGGTTATCTCAAATCAATTTCTGCAATTTTAATAGCCTACACATAATGGTGACAATAACTTAGAAAAGTATGCTATCACGTACCTAGCTCAATTGGTAGAGCATCGGTTCGTCCGTTATAAGTCCCCTCTGGTCTAGTGTTTGATTCCCCCGTGGACGGTGAGGTACTCGAATAATTAGGCGCATTCGGGATGACCAGGGCTCGTATAATAGCTTTCGACCATTTCTTTTGGAAAAAAAAAAAAACTTAAAAAAGCATATAACCCTATTACAAAAATAAAATATTATCATATTTGATCATATTTCACATAATAATATGTTTTTAAATAAATTATTGCATCGAATATAAAAAATATTTCTTATCCATTTCCTTAATATTCACCTTTTAAACATTTACATGTTTGCCATTATCCCATGAGGTTCACATTTACTGAAAGGATGTGCGAGCTACTGAATAGAGAAAAAAAAAACGTGATTTAAAAAAAAAAAAATTTAAAGATTTACATACAAATCACTCAATACCTATTTATTTACATATCTAATACTTAAAATCATATTTTTCACATATATATATATATATATATATATATATATATATACATTATATATTTAATTTTTCAAAAATTAGAGCGGTAAAATTTTTTTTTGTAATATAAAAGATTTGAATGGTATAAATGTAAAAAATAAAATTTAGGGCGTAGATATATAAGTGTAACGGAATTAGGTGGTATGCTCATAAATGACACTCTTTTTTTATGCTTTTAAAATCATGAATTTAAGTTATGATTTATTCATCATTTTAAAACTGAATCGCAGATCAGTTCATTCAATTAGAATGAGGAACAATATTTTAAATAAATATTTGCTGACGGAGACAACCCCTTACTTGCTGACTCGCCTTTGTTTGTTCGTCTCCCAAATCGCAAGCGGGTGATATGAGAGCTTCCTGGTCGACCTTATTTATGATTTCTTGTAAACCCAGATTCACCTTCTTCCCCAACTAAGTGGTATATAGTTCTTCATCCAACTGGTCTTCGCTTTAATTTAGTTGGTTCGTCATTTTATTAGACAATTCGGGATTCTAAGCCGATCTCCTAACTCGGGCATCAATTTCGTGAGTAACCCAACTTAGTCCCGATGACTGATCTTGGCTCACTCTACGTTCGGGACCAACCTTATCTGTCGTTTTGCTTACCCTTGCATTGAGATTCATGTTTTTCCAATCCATTCATAAGTTTATAATACATATAAATATAAAAAAGTTATGTTGAAACTACACCTCGTGAATATACCAATCAAAAAAATTTCTTTCAAAGTTCAAATTACTATTATTATTATTTTGTATATATTATTTTGGCACCCGTAATATTGCACTATTAATTAACATGAGTTTCTTCTAGAAACCATGCCAAGGTCATGGAGCGATATTTCAAGGGGCCATTTACATCCAAACCACCCCAATTCCTATGTATTTACACATCTAACACCTAAACTTTAGCATTTACATTTATACCAACCAAATTATCCATCTAATATCCCTATTTTAACTAAATAAATAAATAAAAGCGAAATACACCTCTTCATGAATAAATAAGCTGGCATAAATGTAAATTTTGAAGTTTAGATATGTAATTACTTAGCAATTTACTGGGTATGTATGTAAATTTGTGATTCACGGTCAATCTTCATTGGAAATAAAACCGTCAAATCTACAAGCCCCATGGCTCCACCCGTGGCTCAGCTACGTGCTTTCCTTCCTTCTTCCCCGTGCCCCACAGGGCCCATATTTTTATCTGAAAGTAGAAAGGCAGGAGCTTTTTAGCAGAGGCGAGCAGGAAGCTCGCCTTTGAGATGGACTTCCAGACCCCCAACAAGGAAGATGCCCCCACATGGATCGCCGACCCCGGAGAAACCACCGCCGGCGGCCAAGCCGCAGCCTTTTCCTCCTCTTCCTCTATTCGAAATCGGCTAATAATGCCGAAACCAGAGTCCCTAGACACCATTGCTCCCCTTCCGATCATCCCCCACCCTCTTCGCCGGACCAAAGACCGGCACACCAAGGTGGAAGGCAGGGGAAGGAGGATCCGGATTCCGGCTACCTGCGCCGCCAGGATCTTCCAGCTCACCCGTGAACTCGGCCACAAATCCGACGGAGATACCATCCGGTGGCTCTTACAGCACGCTGAGCCGGCCATCATCGCCGCTACGGGTACAGGAACCGTTCCGGCAATCGCAACCAATGTCAACGGAACTCTCAAAATCCCCACGCAAGCATCCAACCCGGCCCCATCCGTAACTTCCGCAGCCGACGTTACTAAAAGGAGAAGAAAGCTTCAGCCCACCCGTGCAGTTGCGGGAGGAGGAGTTATCGGTTACTTCCAGGGGGCCGACCTGGTTATCCCTTCAGGTGGGGCGATATCGATTTCAGCGGGGCTGGCCCCCGTAGCAGCGTCTAGGGTGGTGCCGATGTGGACGACGGTGAGCGGCGCCGCCGCAATTTCACCGGCGGCGGGCTGGGAGATGTTTCCTTCTTCGGCGGCGACTTCGAGCCAGGGGCATATATTGACTTTTCCAATTGGGTTATCCGCCACCGGAGTGAATTTCGCAGCAGCGAGGCCTGTTTTAGCCGCCGCCGGTGCGGCGATTTCGGAAGCGGTGGGGGGGAAGGAGGAGCTGGAGTTGATGAAGGAATCGGTGGATGCGGACGAGTTCGAGGAGCAGAGGGGAAAGGTGAAACCTTTGTCTGAGACGGACTGAGAGAAATTAAGTTTTTTAGTTTTTTTTTGGATTCAGAAGTATCTCAAAATGTTGTTACTTGTAACCTTAATCCTTCGTTATGTCTGTTTTAATCGTTGATGCTAATTTGAGTTAGAGTAATTAATTAAAATCGTCTAAATTAGTGGGCAGCTGATTGGCACGTGCGGCCGGTTAAGATGCGGTTGTGGACTTGAGACACGCCGAGCATTTAATGGGCCTGAGCGTGTGGTCCGTTGGAGTGGGCCATGGTGCTGGCCCGTCATGTGAGGGTGGGCAGGGCTAGGCGGGGGGGGGGAGGTGGGGGAGTGGTGTAGGTGGGGTCCGCTTTTGCGGCTCACGAGGCCGGGGCCACGGTACGGGTGGTTAATGGCGGGGCCCGCTTACAATTTATCTGGTGAGATGTGAGTGGGACGTGGAGGAAGAATATCCTTTCCCCCTCTATATAGTTTATCATTTATTTATACATCTGCAGACGGGAAAAAAAAATATAAAAAAAAGTTTATTTTGTTCATTGCTAATTTCAAAGCAAATACACTCTCTTTCATCTATTTTTCAAACTGTCACTCAAATATCAAAGATCAGCATAAGCTCTCAGCCCATATTTTTTTTATTTTTATTAAATTTATAATAATTTGACTACCCTCCCTATCTAGCAGAGGAGATTAGATCTTATACCTTCGACTCAAGCAATTAAAGCCCGATAGGAGCCAACTCGCAAACCATTTCTATATCATGGCATGGTTGGCCTCTCACCATCAAAATAAGGCTTTACGTCACTTAGAGGACAAATAGGCCCTGGTGGTGAAGGGAGTTTCTTAGGCCGTCACCAAGAAGTTGGATGTGGAGCTAATATCATCAAGGCCAAATGACAGCTTAATGTCATAGATAAAAAGTTTCACATCGTCTAGATATATGGCTGAAAAACAGTATTTAAGTTCTGGGCTGTCCATCACCCCCAAAAGAGCTCTTTTAGGAGGTGACAAGTGGTATCAGAGCCAATTACTATATGTCAGGTGTGTGGACTCTCCATGGTCCAATGGGACCCTCGGTGGAGCCGATCCGTGACGAGGAGACTCGTGACAAGGGCGTCACGTGATTGAATGGAGGAAAATGTCACAGACAAAAATTCCCACATTGGCTATGTGTAGGATCGAAAAGCAGTATTTAAGTTATGGGCTGCCCACCACCCCTAAGAGCTCATTTGGGAGTAACATTAAGCTCTCCCATGAGATGTGGAAACAAGAGGGGGCAAAGCGAGATGAGACCATTAGGGTCTTGGAGATGGAGTTGAAAGTGGAGATGGTTAAGATGGTAGTCCCTAAAGAACACATCCAGGGGCTTTCTGATTAGCTCCAAGTTGGCATTTCCCTAGCCATTGAGTGATTGATAAAGTGAAGCTGAAGGAGCACTACCCTACATAATAGTTAAAAGTAGAGAAAAAAAATATTGCCAACCAGATGTATTAACTTTTAGGAGAAAAAGAAAAAAAAGAAAGAGAAAAAGAAAAAAAAACAATAAAAAAAAAGATCCTGATGAGAAGAAGTTTGAGGTTGTAAAATTCAAGATAAAATAAATTAGAAGGGAATTTAGTAGAACTTAAATGATATAATTTTTAATGATTCCTTAATGAAATACCTTAAAGTTATCATCAAAGGATAAAAATTTAGGAACATTTAGTTGGCTAAATCCACAAAAATGATTTTAAAGATATTCGAGGTTAGTGACAGATATTTTCAAATAATATCAATTTAAGAATCTATGGAATTTCTTAAAGAACAAAATATAGGAAATTAAGTAAAACCATTAGGGCCTTGGAGATGGAGTTGAAAGTGGAGATGGTCAAGATGGTAGTCCCTAAAGAACACATCAAGGGGCTTTCTGATTAGCTCCAAGCGGGCATCTCCCTAGCTATTGAGTGAAGCTGAAGGAGCACTACCCTTCATAATAGTTAAAAGTAGTGAAAAAAAATGTTGCCAATCAGATGTAGTAATTTTTAGGAAAAAAAGACAAAGAAAGAGAAAAAAAAAGAAAATAAAAATTAAAAAAAAAAAAACCATGATGAAAAGAAGCTTGAGGTTGTAAAATTCAAGATAAAATAAATTAGAAGGGAATTTAGTATAACTCAAATGATGTAATTTTTAATGATTGTTTAATGAAATACCTTAAAGTTATTATCAAAGGATAAAAATTTAGGAACATTTAGTTGGCCCAATCGACTAAAATGGTTTTAAAGACATTCGAGGTTAGTGACAAATATTTTTAAATAACATCAATTTAGGAATCTATGAAATTTCTTAAAGAACAAAATATAGGAAATTAAGTAAATGGTTGAGTGGCTAATCATTAACATAATTGATTCTGAGATGACATTTAAACACCTTTAATCCACTTCAAAATATATATATATATATATAATCATCATCTTATAAAAAAATATATATGAATGCCAAATTTGAGATTAATTAAGAACAAATATAGCACAAAGAATATTACTAATCAAATTCCCTGAAAGGTTGCACAGCATTGCTAGAAAAAAAGTGTGAAAATTGACCAACAAAATGAATAAATAAGCAGATGCCCACCAGCTCATTAAAAATCAACATTTTCGTCTATAATTTACTTCCAACAGTCAATTTCCCAAGGAAAAAAAAAATTCAGACAAACAAACACAATGCACAACTCATGCAGCTTTGAAAAAAATTTGCTATTACTCCCATCATAACAAAAACTACATCGACAAAAAAATATTCAGCAATATATTGAACCTCCTTTACAAATGTAACTGATGCTATAACAAACTCACCACCTCACATGCATTTACATACCACCATTATTCGTATATTGTAAATCCACAAACAATTCCCAAAAACAAAATTTACATCCCATGTGGCCACATTACTTGGGAAAAGAATGGATAAATTACATTTCCTACCCATTATCTCCATCAAACTTGTTATACAGTCCCTTGATCAAATTGTAAGATTTTCTTGAATTGCAAGGAAGGATCCACAAATGTTTCCGCCAACATCGGGGAATGTTTCACATCCACGAAGGGGCTTGACCTTGCCCTTTCTATCAACATCTACGGGATACTTTAGGAGATGGCCGTTCATTTCAGTTATCTCCTCGGCCACAAATTGTCTCCAATTCATCAGGCCAATTGAGCGGATGCGTCTCGTGCATTCGAGAGTCTCCGGCCTGGTGAAGCACTCCTCTAGGGTTCCGGTGTGCTCCGCCCATAAAGACATCCTATACCCATAAATCTGCCCAAGGTGGAGATAAGTTTAATCATTTTACTGGAACGAAAATCGAGTATCATGACTACCTAGACTTTAAAAATTACAAAGGGGAAATCTAAAAATTACAGACTCGGGCCTATAGACAATGTTATTATTCACACGTAATAACATGTAACAGGTCATGCCCAGAGGGAGCGGTAAGCTAGTAGCATATGCAAACAATGTATTATTATTTTATTCATTTACAATCCCTCCACTATAGATATGACCCTTACAGAATACTATATATATACTCCTAATTTAGTAAGCACATCACACACTCAATAAACAAATAAAAAAACAAACATAAATCTTAAAAAGAAACAAATAAACCGACAGCTGAAGCAAAGACTTCCGTCCTTCGGATACTAATATGACAGCAATTGAAACATAAAGAACTTTTGGAACTGGATAAATGATGATTGAAGAATCTCAGGCTGTCTCTGGCTTTTGATCAAGAGCCTACAGCAATTATTTCAGAATTCCAAATCCTTTTCCTTTCATTATCAAAGTTCAGACATTGGAATACAACCAAAATGAAAGAAAAGAACTCGATTTAAAGATTACCTCCTCTTCAGTGTGTTGCATTCAGATGCAAAGTAGGTCGAAATGCAATTAAATTCACATAAGTTTTAGCTGAATTTTGAATTTGAAACTGTGATTAGCCTTTTAGGAAGATTTACAAACATACCACTCAGTTCCAATGTATTTACAGGTCTAACAGCTAAACTTTATTTTTTTACATACATGTCATAAATACACATGATATATTTCACATTTTACAAGTCAAAATAGAGTATTTTTAATGTGATATGAAAGATTTGGCTAGTCGTATATTTTATTTTGATGTGATATGAAAGATTAGGGTGATATAAATGTAAAAAGTAAAGTTTAGCTGTTAGATATGTAAATATATAAGAATTGGGTGGCTTGCATGTAAATGTCCCTTCTATTCAAAATTTTATTGCTTTAGCAAAATAGAGCAAAAATGATTTACATCTTAGACAAGATCCAATTTTGAATGATAAACCTTTGCAGCAGAATAATACCTCCAAATATTAATGTAAAAGCTCTTTGCAGCATAGAGTTGTTAATATTACCTGACCAGTTGGTTCAGAGGCCTTTCTTGCCCAAGTATGTTGGGGTTGATAAGCACCCATTGCAATTTCAGTATCTCTAGTACCTTCTAGAGACCTCTGATTAATGTTTGCCGAGCCAATAATCACATACTCATCATCGACGATCATGCCTTTGGAGTGTACATAGATCATGAACCGTCTATTCTTCTTGGCAAGTGCCTGGTGAAATATCAAAGATGTATATTTGTTAAGGGACTAATACTTTTCTCTTATTTCTTACTTTATGCTATAAATTGCACCAATCCACCTTTCTCTGAACAAAGTCATGAAATTACGTGACTAGTTAAGCATTCACCCTCACCCCAACAACAATACCACTTAACAAGATTTAACACAATTTCACTCAAATGCTATTTAAGCATTTTGTGGCAAAAGACGATGCATTTACATACATGCCAACAATTCCTATGTATTTAGATATCTAACACCTAAACTTAATTTTTTATATTTATGCCACAAAAAAATTTCACATCACACAAAAAATGTCACCATTTTAACTTCTAAAAAGTGAAATACATCCCTTCATACATAGCTAAAATGGTATGTATGTATATATTAAATTTTAAGCGTTAGATATGTAAATACATAGGAACTTAGTGGTATGTATGTAAATCTTCTAATTTAGAAAAGATTGGACTTCATTAAGTTGAGCCATTTCTTGTAAGCTAAATAAAATAATACAACCTTGCTCGGTTACACAATAAATTGCTTTTGCTTAGTGCCCGTCCGAACAAACAAGGAGGATTAGCAACTTGTTAGAAGTTATAGAATTAACTTGAAAAATAATACAAAAAAACTAGTTTATAGCTTATATAAGCTGAAAACAACTGGAACTTCAGATAAGAAGAAAAAAGAAACTTGCAATATAACTAATGGAGCTGATAGACTAGAGAAAAGGCAATTTTAAAAATAATATATTTTAAAATGGTAAAATTGTTAGCAATATACGAGATTGATATAACCGATATTGGCACCTTTTGAACCAACTATATATCTATTTAGCCACCTAAGAAGTTAACGTAAAATTAAAATTAAACCTAAATATAACCTTTGAATTACCTCAATTTCAACTTATTAGTTTTTAGTTGCTGGAAAGTTATAAGCAAATAATTGAATGCTTTTAAATACAAAATTAAGTTTTATTTCAAATGAAACGCGAAATAATTATAAAATTATGTAATTTCACATAATTATGCTTCAAAGAAAGTGATAACCGAGTTAATAAAGTATAGCTAGCAGTTCAAAGCAGATAGGATTTTATGAGTATAATGAGCATTTTTGTAAATTATAAATAAATTGAATTCTTTATATAAATTTTAAACATGACTAGACTTCGAAGTTCTGTGCAAGTCCAGGCAAGTTCCTCGCCCAATAACTCCAATCACCTTGGACTAAATCACAAGTAACGCAGAAGCTGAAACCACCTGATCGTGATCCGCAAGATCGCAGAACTGCAAGACCGCAGAACTGCAAGACCGCAGAACCACCCGCGATCACAGCAGACCTCCCACACATTATGAAATCCGAGATAAATTCCAACATATTTTTTTACTTCTCCGTTTTTTTTTTCTGATTTCCTATTTCTAATTAATATTTTTCTATGAGGGCTAAATAGATTATTGATACTAAGATTTTTAATTTTACAAGTGCTTATGCCCCTCAAGTAGGTCTAGATATAGGAACTAAAGTTAAATTTTCGAATGACTTAGAAGACTTAATACAAATGATATCACTTGAAGAAAAAAATTTTATTGGAGGAGATTTAAATGAACATGTCGGTAGATAGGACTGTAAACGAGCCGAACTTGAGTGAACTCAGGCTTGGCTCGTGTTCGACTCGTTCGAAATCGGTTCATGAACAGTGTGTTCATGTTCGACTCGATTTAAATATTCGTGTTCGTGTTCGGCTCGAAATTGACTCGTTAAAATTAAATTGAAAAAAATAGATGTATAGTGTTGGATTCGAACCTGAACCAAATGTATGCAAAAAAAGACATATAACCACATTACCGCACGAGCTGTTACGATGTAAACTTAAATATAAATATATATAATATATTATTATATAAATAATATATGTTATATTATTATATAAATAATTACATTATATATATATATATATATATCTAGCGAACAAAGAGCTGTTCGTGTTCGACTCATTTATAAATCAAACTTTAAAAACTTGTTCGAGTTCGACTAGTTTACTTAACGAACAAGCCAAACACGAGCTACTTAACAATCTGAACACGATCAGTTCGCAAACGAGTTTTTTTGGCAGCCCTATCGATAGAGTGGTAGAAGATTTCAAAAAATATTCATGGTGGCTACGGTTTTAAAGTGACGAATGAAGAAGGTAGAGTCATTTTAGATTTTGCTTTAGCATATGAATTTATTATTACTAATATCTTATTCAAGAAAAGAGATGAGCTTCTGATTACTTATAAAAATGAATGTAATAAAACATAAATTAATTATTTTCTTATGAGAAGAAGAGACCGTCGAGATTCTAAAGATTGCAAGATTATTCCAAGTGAGGATTTAAGTACCCAACATCGATTATTAGTTTTAGATTTTAAGATGAGTTGTAAAATAAAAAAAAAGTTAGGATTCATCACATAAAATTAGATGGAGAAACCTAAAAGACAAAAAAAATTATTTTTATGAGTAAAATTCAAAATCTCAAAATTTGAGATGTTTATGAAGAAACAAATGTTATGTGGGATGAATAACAAATACTAATAAACAAGTAGCAAAAGTTGTAGTTGAGAATAATCAAAAATAAAAAGTTTCTATAAATAAAAATAGATGGTGGTGAAATAATAATATGCAAAAAAAGATAAAATATAAAAATTTATGCTATAAAAATTAGTTTATATGTAAAAGCTTAGAAAACTGGGGAAAATATCAAACGGCTTGCAGGGAGTGTAAAAGAAAATCTGTGACGCTAAAAATTCTACTTTTAGTGATTTTTATGATAAATTAGATACTAAGGAGGGTGAAAAAATATATGTATAAACTAGCCAAACTAAGAGAAAAGAAAAGTAAAGATTTAACCCAAATAAAGTGTATTAGAGATGAAAATCAGAATGTGCTTTAAACAGAAAATGAAATTCAACATAGGTGGGTGAGTTATTTTGATAAACTTTTTAATGAAATTTTTTAAATTACGATCTACCTTAGTGATCTTCATATCGTTAATAATAATAAAACATTTCATTTTTACCGTCGCATTAGTAAAAAGAAAGTTGAGGAGGTTTTAAAGAAAACAAAGGGTAGAAAGTCTGTAGGACCTGATGTATCCCAATTGAAGTGTGGAAATATTTAGGAGATTTGAGAGTTTCTTGACTTACTAAACTCTTTAATATTATTTTAAAAGCTAAAAAGAAGCTTGAGGAGTGGAGGAAGAGTATTTTGGTCCTCATTTTTAAGAATAAAGGGGAAGCACAAGAGTGTGCAATTATAGAAGAATTAAGTTAATGTGTCATACTTTAATATTATGGGAGAGGGTAATTGAACATAGGTTAAGACGTATTACAAAGATTTCTCATAATCAATTTAGTTTTTTGTCGGGCAGGTCTACCATAGAAGCTATACATTTATTGAGAGGTTTGATGGAGAAGTTTAGAGATAATAAGGATGATCTACATTTGATTTTTATTGATTTATAAAAAGCTTACGATAAGGTTCCAAGAGATGTTCTTTGGAGCATTCTTGAAAAGAAAGGTGTTGATATGACTTATATTCAAGTCATTAAAGATATGTATACTAGATTTGTTACTAGTGTTCGAACTGAAGGAGGATTGACCAAATATTTTCCTATTTCTATTGAATTACATCAGGGATTGGCTTTAAGCCCATATCTTTTTGCTTTAGTTAAGAATTGTCTTATTGGACATTTACAGGAGAATGTACCTTGATGTATGCTTTTTGCTGATGATATCCTTCTCGTGGATAAGACGAGAGAAAAAGCCCAGAAAAAACTTGAATTATGGAGGTCTACTTATGTTATGGAGGTCTACATTGGATTCTAAATATAATTCAACCCTAGAATTAGGCAACAAGAGTACACTCGGTGGAGCATTGAAACCAATCCCTCCCAAGAAGAATAAATCCAGAATGGAAAAAAGGTGGAGCCTACTAGCACCAGCACTCCCAACTCTATCACAACCCATAAGTGCTTCATGCAACACAATTTTGGGAAAGTTACATTGATTACCCAAATAGGAGGGTGACCTCATTCACTGAGCAAAAAACAAATGAAAAAATAAACAGTGACACGGGAGTGAAAGGAAGACATCAAAGAAGAGTTTCAATCTACAACCAACAAGAGAGATGTTAGTGATTCAAATTAAGCCCAATACACAACGAGCTTAACATTGATTGTCCTAAAAAATAGTGAATCTGAGAAGCCAACACTTGGATAGGGATAAACCCTGTTGAAGGAAATACCAGATATCAATGGTTATCAATGAAACAGGTCCAGCCTATCATAGACTTCATTCCATAGTCGATTCCTCTAAATAAACTTGTTTATCCGATAAGCCCAGCAGAGTATGAGTGGAAGATGTGGATTATAGATCTAATGACTCGAGATTTGGTTCGTAAAAATACCTGTTTATGTGCAGTTCCAACTTGCTTATGGCAAAAAAAAAAATGAACATTTATTCTATAGGACATACATTGAAAGGATTCAAAGTTAACTTGAGTGGACGTGAACATTGATTTTATAGTGAGACTGCAACAGACACAACAAGATGAAAACTTTATTATGATGGGGGTAGATTCGCTCCAGAAACCGCCAAAGAATAAGGCAAATACTCTCCTAATCGAGGAGAATGAAGCAGACATTGAAACCACGCAAAAACGATCCGGAAGATCGCGGAACCGTTTGTGATCGCGACTGACCTCCCACACATTATGAAATCCTGAATAAATTCCAACATAGTGTTTTCCTTTTCTATTTTTTTTTTCTAATTTCCAATTTCTAATAAGCTTTTTTCTATGAGGGACTTACGTCTATCTTTTTATTTTCTATTTTGAGCGACTTTTGATTTTATTTATAATATTTGGAGATGTTTTCCTTATTGGGGTGTTGTATCTTTAGATTTCTTTCAGGATGTGTGTATAGCTTAATAGGATCAAAGTAGTGATTTCTCTCG